CACGGCATCACCCCCACAGCATCTCCCACGGCATCTCCCACGACATCACCCACGGCATCACCCACGGCATCTCCCACGACATCACCCACGGCATCACCCACGGCATCACCACCACAGCATCTCCCACGACATCACCCACAGCATCTCCCACGGCATCTCCCACGGCATCACCCACGGCATCTCCCACGACACCACCCACGGCATCTCCCACGGCATCACCCCCACAGCATCTCCCACGACATCACCCACGGCATCACCCCCACAGCATCTCCCACGGCATCTCCCACGACATCACCCACGGCATCACCCACGGCATCTCCCACGACATCACCCACGGCATCACCCACGGCATCACCACCACAGCATCTCCCACGACATCACCCACGGCATCTCCCACGGCATCACCCACGGCATCTCCCACGACATCACCCACGGCATCACCCACGGCATCACCTACGGCATCTCCCACGACATCACCCCACAGCATCTCCCACAGCATCTCCCACGACATCACCCACAGCATCTCCCACGGCATCTCCCACGGCATCACCCACGGCATCTCCCACGACATCACCCACTGCATCACCCACGGCATCACCCCCACAGCATCTCCCACGACATCACCCACGGCATCACCCACGGCATCACCCACGGCATCTCCCACGACATCACCCCACAGCATCACCCCACAGCATCTCCCACGACATCACTCCACAGCATCACCCCACAGCATCTCCCACGACATCACCCCACAGCATCACCCCACAGCATCTCCCACGACATCACCCCACAGCATCACCCCACAGCATCTCCCACAACATCACCCCACAGCATCACCCCACGACATCACCCCACAGCATCACCCCACAACATCACCCACAGCATCACCCACGGCATCACCCACGGCATCACCCACGGCATCGCCCACGGCATCACCCACGGCATCACCCACAGCATCACAAGCGCTGGAGCAGGGCTTCTCAAACTTGCATCTGATTCACCGAGGGTTTTGTCCAAATGCAGCTGCTGACTCAGTGGGTCTGGCTGGGCTGGAGCCCGAGCTTTCGCATGGCTAAGCTCCCAGGTGTGCGGGTGCTGCTGGTCTGAGGACCACACGTGGAGCTGGGAGGCTCGGTGTGAACGGGCGGGAAAGCCTTGTGCTCCGGCTGCTCGCTTAGCCCAGCCCAGGCCGCGGGAGCCTGGCAAGTCCCGCCTGTTCCTCGCTGCTCCTCCAGGAGGCTGGGCCACCGCGGCCCCTCTTCTCCAGCCCAACTTCCCTTCTGGCCCAGACACAGAGACTGTGGGACAGTCGGGTGGGGTCTGGACACACCCCTGCCTGAGCATATCCCCACAGCCCTCGGAGCCCAGGCCCAGCTCTGACTCCCCGGGAAGTCTTGCAGTTCTGGAAACTGCTCTTCTTACCTGTGCTGTCACCATGGAGACCCTACAGAGAGTGGGACAAATGGTTCTGCCGACCTTGGTCTGTCACATCCTCCGGCCGTGCAACCAGACGGGGAGAGCACTGGCTGGTCGAGGAAGAGGCCAATAGCTCGCAAGGACTTGGAGACAGGCGTCCCGCTGCTGCGGCCTCTCTCCTGCCCCCCCCCCATAAGAGCTTTCCACGGTGAGAACACGGAGGTGACTGTCACCAGCAGGCTGGTCTTACTGCTCACACTGCCCCAGGAGCAGTGGAATCGACCTGCTCCTTCCTCCAGACACCAAGAGACAACTAGCGGAGAGAGAGAGAGTCCAGTGGGAAGTTACAGTAAGAAGGAATCGAGCTGGTTCCTGCCCACACTCTGAGCTCTGCTTGTTCAGTGGACCAGACCCCAGAGATAAAGGCCACTCACCTCAGGACAGGGCCACTCACCCCTGGGACGGGGCCACTCACCCCTGGGACGGGGCCACTCACCCCTGGGACAGGGCCACTCACCCCGGGACAGGGCCACTCACCCCTGGGACAGGGCCACTCCACTCTGGGACAGGGCCACTCACCCCTGGGACAGGGCCACTCACACCCCGGGACAGGCCACTCACCTGGACAGGGCCACTCACCCCGGGACAGGGCCACTCACCCCGGGACAGGCCACTCACCCCGGGACAGGCCACTCACCCCTGGGACAGGCACTCACCTGGGACAGGGCCACTCACCCCTGGGACAGGGCCACTCACACCGGGTCTGGGACAGGGCCACTCACCCCTGGGACAGGGCCACTCACCCCGGGACAGGGCCACTCACCCCGGGACAGGGCCACTCACCCCGGGGACAGGGCCACTCCACTCTGGGACAGGGCCACTCACTCCCGGGACAGGGCCACTCACCCCGGGACAGGGCCACTCCACTCTGGGACAGGGCCACTCACCCCTGGGACAGGGCCACTCACCCCGGGACAGGGCCACTCACCCCTGGGACAGGGCCACTCCACTCTGGGACAGGGCCACTCACCCCGGGACAGGGCCACTCACCCCTGGGACAGGGCCACTCCACTCTAGGACAGGGCCACTCACTCTTGGGACAGGGCCACTCACTCCGGGACAGGGCCACTCACCCCTGGGACAGGGCCACTCCACTCTGGGACAGGGCCACTCACTCCCGGGACAGGGCCACTCACCCCGGGACAGGGCCACTCACCCCGGGGACAGGGCCACTCACCCCGGGACAGGGCCACTCCACTCTGGGACAGGGCCACTCACCCCGGGACAGGGCCACTGACCCCGGGGACAGGGCCACTCACCCCGAGACAGGGCCACTCCACTCTGGGACAGGGCCACTGACCCCTGGGACAGGACCACTCACCTCAGGACATGACCAATTCTTAACATTTTGAGAGAAAAGGGGAGTATATTATTCGAAGTGCAAGACCATAAGGAAGGCTAAGGATCCTTTCCCCAGAAAATTACACATATGTACATGTCCACAGAGATGTTAACACAAGTGGGGGGGGGGCTCTGAAGCTTACCTACAGACTCCCCAGAAACTGTGACCCCCAAGGAGAGCACCCACGAGCAAGGACAGCTAGGCCTGCACTGCGCTCCCGCAGGCCTGGCCCAGACCGGGGCTCATTCCCGCTTCTGGCCTGGGCGAGGGAGCTGCTAGGCCTCGCTCACCTTCCCCCCCGAGAACTCGGGCCAAGGCCATGGAACCGCAGGTTCCTGCACGTGGCTTCTGGTCTGGGGAGGGAGCTGCTAGGCCTCAGAGAACTTGGCCAAGGCCACGGAACCGCACGTCCCTGCGCGTGGCTTCCAGAAGAGAGCTTTCGTGCTTTGTTGGCACCGGTCTCCTCAAGCAACATTGGGAATATTTTCATGACTGCAGCCCTGCAGTGGGACCCTGGTCAGGAGGTTAAGTGAGTCTCACTGAAACAGTTTTCCTTCCAGGCTGATAAACAAGGCTTCCTCCGCAGGTCGCTCAGCAGGAGCAGCCTGTCCCGGCCAAGGAAAACAAATGCATAAACATTTCGGGGACATATAGGAAGCAGTTCTGTGGGACGCCTGCTGTGAACGGCCACTGGAGTTTACATAGCGATCCCCGCGGGCGGGCGGCACAGCCTGGACAAAGCCCTCCCTGCCCCCTCACTTCCCTCCGGGCTCCTCCCTGCCTGTCCCCACAGACTGACTGCGGCCACCACACACAGCCCAGGACAGCCAGGACAGCCTTGCTCGTTGGCACTGCCGAAGGCCGTGTTGCCCCCTGCATGCCTCCCACTTACAGAGAAGGGGGTCTCCTTCCAGCCAGCACGAGAGTGAACACAGCCCCTGAGCTGCTTGTCCTGAGCCCCAGAGGGCACTGTCCAGGGTCTAGAGCCCTCGGGGGCCCTCCCTGGGCCAGGGAGGATGGCGTGCCCCGGCCCCCTTGTGTCAACACCCACCTCTGCGGCCACCGCGCAGAGTCCCAGCCCAAGCGGTTGCTGGGCACAGCAGGGACGGCAGGGACGGCAGGGATGGCAGGGACGGCAGGGACGGCAGTGCCCGAGGGCTCCACATTAGGTGGCCCACCACCTTGCACATGGACAGCCACCGGACAGGGCGCCTTCCCTCAGTCCTGGGCTGGGAATCATGGCAAAGGGTTCCCAACTCCAGCCTCTGGCACCGCTGTCTCTGGTCCTTCCTACCAGCTCCTCATTGCATCTCTATACTTCCTCGTATTCTGTTCTGAAATCAGTGTATATACGTTAACGGAATGACGACTTCGGGAGCGACTGTCTGTCCCGAGCCCGCCTGCCCCAGCCTGGCTCTGGAACGCGAGGGTCTCCACAGGCTGCCCCCCACATTCTCAGCAGTTTCTGCGCACGCCCCACTGCAGACACTGGGCAGCCACACCAGGCCCTCTGCTCATCCCCATCGTATTGCCCTCTGTGGCCAGGAGGCCCCTCCCGAGAAGGTCCTTCCCCCATGTCCACTTGGCCACTGTCCAGGCCCACAGGACTATCCTCTTGGGGCCCCAGGACTCCAGGCCCGCCCTGAGATGGGCCCCCAGGGGCCTGAATTGCTCCTGGTCAGCATGGCTTATGGAACCTGGAGCCGGAGACCTGGGTCTGATCAGAAGTCAGGCTAGGCCCGGAGTCCAGCCAGGAGCCACTGGAGCAGAGGACAGCAGTTGCCTGCAGAGACACTGGTTAGGTGACATCTGGCCCACAGTCGCCAGGGCTCTGGGGCCGCTCCCCGCGGGACTGCTCCCACCCAGCCGTGAGCCGTGCAGACCAGGCGCTTCCTCCGGGGCAACGGAACAAACGAGTCTTGGCTCTTGCCATGGGTTTCACTCCGGTTTTATAGAAAGTCAACGACCAGAAACCACCAGTGCCCAGGGTCCCGGCTGACCCTCTCAGGGGCTGGGCCAGGGGGCGGGCCTGCAGGGTTCGAGGGAGAGGCAGGCAAAGGCCGCAGAGGCCCAGCAGCTGGCCTCCATCTGGTCCTCGGCAGTCACAGCTCAGCTGGAGGGGCCACAGGCAGCAGCCCGGGGGCCCTTGTCACAGGCCAGGGCGGGCCCTTCCGGAAGGGGCAGGGGGGCTCCAGATGGTTCTGCAGCAGTGCCGGCCCAGATGGGGGTGACACTCTTCTGAGAGACCCGTCCCTGCTGTCACCCAGCGATGAGTGGAGCCACAGGACTCACCCGCACTGAGGCTCACAGGATGGGGTCTGAGCCGTTCCAGTTCACGGATGCCCCCTTCCACCTAAGGGCAGGGGGACAGAAAAAGAGAGTCTGAGCCGCGGGGCCCACAAAGGAGCCCTCTGTGCCCTCACTCACCTGGAATTCTTGTCTTGGGGTTCTGGAGAAGGAGTCAGGTTCCACCCTCCCCACCTGGCCCCACCACTCACCCACAAGCCTGCACCCCGGCCCTTACAAAGCAGGAATGCACCCAGGACGCTGGAGAGTGAGGGAAGGCGGGTCCTTCCTTCCTTCCTTCCTTCCTTCCTCCCTCCCTCCCTCCCTCCCTCCCTCCCTCCCTTCTTCCTTCCTTCCTCCTCCTTCCTTCCTTCCTTCCTTCCTTCCTTCCTTCCTCCCTCCCTCCCTTCCTTCCTCCTTCCTTCCTCCTTCTTCCTTCCTTCCTTCTTCCTTCCTTCCTCCTTCCTTCCTCCCTTCCTCCTCCTTCCTTCCTTCCTTCTCCTTCCTTCCTTCCTTCCTTCCTTCCTTCCTCCTCCTTCCTTCCTTCCTTCCTCCTCCTTCCTTCCTTCCTTCCTCCTCTTTCCTTCCTTCCTTCCTCCTCCTTCCTTCCTTCCTTCCTTCCTTCCTTCCTTCCTTCCTTCCTTCCTTCCTTCCTTCCTTCCTTCCTTCCTCCTCTTTCCTTCCTTCCTTCCTCCTCCTTCCTTCCTTCCTTCCTTCCTTCCTTCCTCCTCCTTCCTTCCTTCCTTCCTTCCTTCCTCCTTCCTTCCTTCCTTCCTTCCTTCCTTCCTCCTCCTTCCTTCCTTCCTTCCTTCCTCCTCCTTCCTTCCTTCCTTCCTCCTCTTTCCTTCCTTCCTTCCTCCTCCTTCCTTCCTTCCTTCCTTCCTTCCTTCCTCCTTCCTTCCTTCCTTCCTTCCTTCCTCCTCTTTCCTTCCTTCCTTCCTCCTCCTTCCTTCCTTCCTTCCTTCCTTCCTTCCTCCTCCTCCTCCTCCTTCCTTCCTTCCTTCCTTCCTTCCTTCCTTCCTCCTCCTTCCTTCCTTCCTTCCTTCCTTCCTTCCTTCCTTCCTTCCTTCCTTCCTTCCTTCTTTCCTCCCTCCCCCACCACGGGTGCTCCCTGAGAACCTCCTCAATGCCTGGCAGTGCAGGGCCCTCACCCATGTGAGTGACCCATACATCTGAATTCAGCCACTTTCCAGGGGTGCCTGAGGGTGACCCTTCAAAGGCATGTGGGAAGACCTAGATACGGGACAATTCTGGCTCGTTCAAGATGCAGGAGGTCCAGCGGCTGGGCCCAGAAAGGCGTGGGGAGCGGTGGCGCAGGGGTGGGGAGCGGGCAGGGGCGGCGCGGGCAGCTTACGCAGGGCCGTGGGCCGTTCACTGGAACACAGACGTGCACTTTTCAAAATACTATACGACACCCTAAGAAGAGTTGAGCATCATCAAACTGCAGGCCAGGCATAGATGCAATTTAATCATAGCTCAGTTCCAAATAAAAGTTATTGTATGTGCGACCACATTTCCCAACATGGGACTTTACTACGTGGCACTATTTTTCTAAGAGACTTGGAGGATCAGTGGGGCCGATGGCATGTTCCTGCAGATCTGGCCCTGGTGTGTCACACGTGCACCCTGAGAGGACAGGGACTGGAAACAGGTGGTACATAGGAGGTGGGGGCTTAGAAATGCTCACACAGCACGGGGTCTGGGAGGGAGGGAGCAGACGCCTTCAAACCCTGAAGCTTTTCTTCAGGACACAAATCAAAATGGTAACGGCCACAGAGGAGGAAAAAAGAGACACTTTCTCACTAATTGCACATCTGCATCAGAACGTCCGCCAGCCCTGAAACTGGAGGCCGAGAGGGACAGCCTCGCCCCAAAAGGAGGCGGCTGCCTTCCCTAACCAAACGTGTGGCAGCACCGAGGGTTTCAACACAAACCAGCACCTCCATCTGCACGCCCGACCTGCATACGAGGCGCCCCACTGGGGGCCCCTCCCCCTTCCTCGGGCCCCTGCTCTGTGTCCGTCTTCAAGGCTGTGCTGGCTCCGGGTACACATCCTGTCCCCTCCAGAGGCCGCGGGGCTCGTGCACATTCTGTTCTCCCAACGCATGTCCTCTCGTTTACACACAACTTCGCCTCTGTCACGCCCGTCTGTTCCCCTGCTGGGTATTTTGCCTACTTTGCACCATTCCATTCCCCTTCAAATGAGCAAAGGTTTCTCGTCACGTGGAGGAAAACAATCTCGGCGCTACCTCTGTGCTCCCTGCCACCACGGAAAGGCTTGGTGCTGCAGATATTTGCACATGGCTCCTTCTGGAACAATTAGGAGTGCATTCCCCTAGCCCACCCAGGGCACTGCGAGTCTAGACGGCCCACAGCCACAGGGGAATGTGAGAATGTGATGTTCAACATGGTCTAGACACGAGCCACAGCCCTGTTCTGCGCTGTGCGCGCCAAGCAACATCTCGAGTCTGTCTGGCCCGTACATGATGCAGAGTTGCTTCTCCTGGTTAAGTCGCTCGGCATGAAAGGCTGAGATGATGGGTGGCTGATGGACGGGCTGCTCGGCCATGGACGTTTTAGGGGAAGGTCCTTGCCAATCTAGCTCTGTGTTCTCCGCTGTGTCCTTTGGCATGCCCCATGATGCTGAGAAATCCCACCCAAAGTGAGGCTGCATGGCTTTTTGACAACCGAGTCTTTCCTTCCTGCGAGATGGGCTGAGCGGTACCGGTCCACCTCCTGGGCCATCTGCTGCCTGGGATCCTTCTGGCCAGTGCTCAGAAGCAGGTCTGGATGAGCAAAATTGTTTGCATATATTTCCAGAAGAGGTCTTTTCTCAAGAGCACTTGTTGGAAGAACTACCTTGGTAAGATACATTCCAAATCTCACCCGGGGCAAGAGATGCGTACCCTGATTGTGCCCGTCCACGGCCCTGCCGCCCCTTCATCATCAGCCATGCGCGTAAGTTAAGGGTCAGCCTGGATGTGGAGGAATGGAGGGATTCTGCGGCATCTGGGCGCCTTGGACTCTGTCTGTCCTGAGCTGCTGTGTCAGCATGAGGTAGGTCCAGAGGAACCCATGAGGTGTCCACTTCAGTGGAACCCACTAGCACCATCACACTCGTCACTGCTCGAAGAAGAGAGAGTGGGACTGTACCTGGGGACAACCCGGCACGGCAGGGAGAAGTCGGACTGCCCCGGAGGGTCAGCGCCCCCTGCCTGCACCCTTTGGTGCCGGAGCCTGAGGACATCCCCGAGCAGCTAACACAGGCCCAGCCAGCTGGGAAGACGGGCGCGGTGCTGACCACGGGCGCCCAGGGGCGAGGCCGCCTAGCGCGTCTGCCGGGTGAACAGCGCCTTGGCAATCTGCAGTCACACGGCGCAGGGCGTGGTTAGTTCTACCATGCGACTTGAGATTTTTAATTTTTTTTCTGTTCATCATCTTTGCCGTTTTGTGGCATGTCATTAAAAAGCTTTTATTGTTCTATTAAGATTGGTAGGTAAGCATCAGCCTCTGTCAGCTACTTACCGCAATTTTGGACTCTAGGGACACAACCTAAATCCAGACCCAGAAAGGCAGCAGAAGGGAGGCAGGGAGGAGTGACATTCTGTCCACAGCCTGGCCCCAGAGACCAGATGTGCAAGGGGGAAATGACCGCCCGTGCCGGGGGGGGGGGGGGGTCCTTGCCCCAGGCATGGCAAGAACGGGGGAAGAGTCATAAAGAGACCAGACTTCCTGTCTTCCTTCATGATCCATCCTCAGCCTGGCCCTCAAGGCCCGCCCCATTCCTCCCCACCCTTCCCAGCCTTCATCCTCCCTGCTCCCGCTCTGAACAGGCAGGTGGGGTTCCCCCTCCAAGCTCTCAGATCCCGGCCAGACGGCGCCTGCTTTCGGTGCAGGGCGAGCCAGACTTGTCTGCCGCCTGATGTACATCACAACAGTCACCGAGTCTTACGACCAGGCTGCGGAGTTTTTACACTCAGTATCGAGGCTTTGCACAGAGGGAACTAACCTAGCCCGCGCCAGCCCACAGGTGCCAAAGCAGGGAGAGAGGTAAAAGCACTGGAGAGAAGCCGCTTGGCACTTCTAACAGAAAATCAGGGCGGAGGCATTTTAAAAGCCGAGAGGACTGACCGCGGACTCGCACGCTTGCACAACCACTTCTACGGGGCGTCAGTTCTGTGAGTGGATCACAGGACATAGGGGAGCCCTGCCCGTGCAGGTGGGCACAGGTGAGCGCAGGGATGGGGGAGCGCCCTGGGGTGGGGCCCGGCTGAGACAGGAGGCGAGAGTAAGCGTGGAGCGGGGCTTCTCCCACGACGCCCTGACGTTGCGGGTGACGTAGCTGCCGTGGGGCTGGCTTGTGCATTGCAGGGTGTCTAGTACCCTCTGCACCACCCAACCTGCGACAACAAAAAATGTCCCCAGACGTTGCCAAATAGCCCCTGGGGTGCAAGATCGCCCCAGCTGAGGACTGCTGGCCTCAGGCTGAGTGCAGGGAGGAAGCACGGCCCTGGAGCCGGGGCTCAGCAGCCCAGAGGCCCACCTCACAGCCACAAGTGAGCCCCCCCCCCCAGGCAGCAGAATGGCCATGGGCAACCGAACAGCAGTTACTGCCGATTCCACACTGACAGCACTGGTTCCGGGAAGGGTGCCCGCCGAGCCGGTGCGGGCAGCACAGCAGGGCAGGCCTGGCCTCAGCGCCCAGAGCTGAGTGCTGGCATGCTCCCCGGTGCTCCTCCTGCTCCCGGGCTGTCCAGGTCTCCGGTGCCAGTTCCCTCTCGGGCCCCCGGCTCTGGAATGGCCCCCGGGGGGTCTCACCTGTGGGCCCCGGCCTGCCTGGGCTGAGCTCTCCATCCCCATCCTTCAGGGGTCTCCCTCCCCATGATGGACTGTGAGCCCCTGGAAGGCAGAGCTAGTCCACTCTCCTCCATCCCCTCCTCGACCTCTAGCCTGGTACCTGAGCCAGGAGCCCAGGGTGCTGCTGAGTGAGCAGCCCACACACACCAGCTGTTCCTCCTGGAAGCCCAGGACCCAGGGGGAACCTTCATCCTTGTCCATGCTGCCCCGTCCTCCCTCTGCCCAGGCTGTCACAGAGCCCCGCCACGGCCCGGGCCATCCTCCCCTCCTCCTCTGCCTCCTCCCCTCACAGGTGTGAGCCTCGTACAGTCGGTCAGGGAGGACGTGGTTACACCCAACCAACAGGTAGGAAAACTCCGCGCAGAGCAGAACCAGACCTGGAGGTCACGCGACATGACAGCACAGAGCCCGCATGGCGGAGCTCAGGGTTCTGGGAGCCCCCCGGGCGAGGACTGCAGGGCAGGGGTCAGAGGGCGGCTGGAGCAGCGGGAGCAGCCAGGGAGCCCTCCCACACAGTGACCCTCGGGGTAGGGGCCGCCCGGGGAGGGGGCACTGGGCTCCAGCCTCTGGAAGCAGATTCCAGCTGGAACTACATTTGCAAGTTCTCGTCTGAGCCTCCAAACAGAAACATCTGTGGCCTAGCCCCGGGCCCGGCTGAGCTCTTTCCTCTTTTCTCTGGACTGTTGACAGCGGTTTCATTTCTCCCCCTCGAGCTAGGCTGCAAGGTTGAGAGCGGTCACTGCGTGTGTCTTGTTGGGAAATGACCATAAATGAGGCTGTTTTTGCTAAATGGTCAGAGAACAGTGGGAGGAGGGGGCGGGGGCCAGGCCCCACATTCCTGACACAAGCGAGTGAAGGTAACAGGAGCCTCTCGTGCGTCACCAGACAGTAGGGATGGCACAGGACCCAGGGACCGTTCAACTTCGGATGCTCTTCTCCGAAGGCAAAACCCGGAGTCTAGGCTTGTGCAATGTCGCCATGGTAACACAGCCAGGTGGCAGGAAGTCAAACTGCCCGCTCAGTGACCTTCCACAGCTCGAGCCGAAGCTCCAGGCCCCGTACTGCTTGGGACTCGGGGCGCGGCCTGCGGCACAGACCTCCACTCTGGAAAGCCCGCCTGTGAAAGGGCATCGTGTGGTGGTGAGCAAGGCCTTTCTGTGGATCCCAGCAAGATGCCAGATGGCCAGGTGTGTGGTGTGCTCCACGCTGAGTCAGGGCGAGCGTCAGAGGTCCTTCCGGAGCAATAGCTGGCTTGAGGGAGGATGGCCGCTCCTCCTGGACCAGAGCAGAGTTGATTCTGAACTTGATGCTATTTGACTGTGGACGCTGGGAGCAAGAACCAAGTCTTGTCCAGCTTTTTCTTCCATGGAGTCCAGCCCAGGGTTCCATGGGGCTGAGTGACGGGAGGGGAACCCGCCGGCCCATGGGTCCATCCTCAGCAGGTGCTTAGGATCTGAACGACCTTAGAAATGACCTGAGCTCGGGCCATGCGCCACACGTGCCCCCTTCCCGTCAAGGCAGGGACTTCTACAGGAGCAGGACTTATCCCTCACAAGGCAGGCCCGCCCAGCCGGTGTGGCTCAGTGGCTGAGCGTCGACCCAGGCACCAGGAGGTCGCCGGTTCGATTCCCGGTCAGGGCACATGCCCAGGTTGTGGGCCCGATCCCCAGTGGGGGGCGTGCAGGAGGCGGCCAATTGATGTTCTCTCTCATCGATGTTTCTCTCTCTCCCTCTCCCCTCCTCTCTCCCTAAAATCAATAAAGAAAAAACATTTTTCTTAAAGGCCGGCCCACGTCCAGTGGGTCCTTATTGACCTTAAAGGCCATTTCCCATGTTTATCCCTGTGAGCTGTTTGAGAATCTGGGAATCTGGGATGAAAACAGATGCAAAGCCTTTGAAATCCAACCCCTTGGAACAGGACGGCAGGAGGCCGGGCCCCGTTCCCGTCACAGCGGCCTGTTAACTGATGGGGACCGAGCGGGGAAACCCAGCGGCCCCGCTCCACCCCCTCCGCTTTTCCGGGAATATGCTGGGCTGTCTCACCGGGAATAACATGGCAAAGTCACCCGTGTTAACTGCCCAGGTGGACCCCCGTGTGGGTGAGTGATGGGGGAAGGGAGGAGGCCGACAGCTGGTTTCAGGGAAGTCCTGGCAGAGGGTGGAGCACTCACACCTGGTGGGCGGGGTGGGCAGCCAGTGGGGCCGGGTGGCAGTACCCCCGGCCCTGTGTGTTGCAGCGGGCCAGAGGCAGGTGGTCGGCACCTCGCCCTGGAAGTGTGGACCTCGAGGTGTGGGCCAGGACAGCAGCGCACCTGCCTAGGACACGCAAGTCCTCAGAGCCCTGGGGTGAGAGACCCACTGGTCTGCCTGCCACACCCTCCAGGCGATGCCGCTGAAGCCTAAAACCACACTCTGCAGCCCATCTTCCCAACGGGTGGGCACAGCTGGACACAGGCGTCCTGGGACATCGACCCTCGGCCCCTAGGGAGCTGGGAGGGGTCTGCGCCAACCAGGTGCCCCGAACCCTGGGTGCTGCACAAGCGTAATTTCCTGTCTGTGACAAGGACTGGGAAGCACGTTGGAGGGGATGCCAGGTCTCGGCCTTGCCCACGCCCCTCCCACGACAGTGAGCAGGCACAGTGAGGGCGCAGCGGACCCCCTGCCCCAGGCCGAGGACTCACTCCCTGAGGCCTGCGGCCTCCCCATCATCTCGCTGCTTCATTTCGTGGCACGTGGCCGTGGGTGGGGCGGGGGAGGGTCCTAGGAGACGAGGAAGAGGTGCTCCAGGCCCGTGTTCACCTTCAGACGTCTCTGAACTGAGACCCCTGACAGCAGAGACCCAAGTCATTTTCTTTCTTTCTTTTAATCCTCACCCGAGGACATTTTTGCATTTATCTTCAGATAGAACAGGAGGGAGAGAGGGAGGAAGAGAGAGAGAACTGTCAATGTGAGAGAGACACATCGACTGGTTGCCACCCACACAACCAAAACCGAGGTACGTGCCCTTAGCGGGAACCAAACCCGGGACCATCTGGTCCGCGGGCCGATGCTCTAACCACTGAGCCAAACTGGCCCGGGCGACCCAAGTCGTCTTCAAGCACTTGCTGGTTAGGACCGAGGCAGGACGCCCAGTCCCAGGCCGTGGCAGACACGCAGTGAGCCTGGCGCCAGAGGCTCTCTTAGGGAAAGGGGCATAGAAGCGCACTCCAGATGGGGGGCTGAAGGGGTGCAAAGTGGGGCCCCCCTGGCTGGGCTGCAGACACAAATGCCCTTTCAGTGAGGGCCCCAAGGGTGTAGGGTTAGGCAGAGCCCGAGCCCAGGTGTGGTCCAGAGCCCTGCTTGGCAAGCGCACCTGCAGGAAGCGGCCATGGCCTCCCGCTCTGCTCTGCAGAGGGGCTCCGGCCGGTGTCCCCTCCTTCTCCGGCAGCCTGCCCTTCTCTCATCACTCTGAGCGAGTGGCCCTTTGCACATGAAAGGAAGGCGACCCCCGCGTGCCGTTGGCCCTCCCAATGAAAGACACACCAGCATATGGCCCCACAGGGCTGCCGCGTCCCTGGCCCAGTGGGCGGGCAGTGGGCGGGTGAGCAGGTGGACAATGGATGGGGCCTAACGAGGCTGTCTCGACACGCCCGGGTCCCCTCCGGTGTACGTGACGTCTTCTTTCTCTGGGCAGCTCCATTCAAGGGCTTGCCGGCCCGAGCAGGCAGTGCCCTGGGCTCTGGGCCAGCCCCGTGGGTCTCCTCCCTGCCAGTCCTGATCCCTCCTCAAACAGAGAACCACCTGAGGTCACACAGCAGCTGAGACAACAATAGTGAGAGCCGCTCACAGAGCTCCTGTAACGTCCGGGCGCCCTGAGGAACCCTGTGACCAGGCACTGCCATTACCCCCGTTTTACAGATGACAAAGTGAGGTGCAGAGAGGTGCAGTCCAGTGACTTGTGGCCAGAAAGGGGCAAGGCCAGGATTCCCACCAGGCAGCCTGGCTCCAGAACCCACACTCAGCAGCCTGCAAGGTGCCGGCTTCCCCGAGGGGCACTGGAACCTGTCCCCTCCCTCCCGTCCTGCTCCTCCACTGCACAGGCCTCCAAGTCCCTGCCCAGTGGCTTGGCCCAGGGCCTGCCTGAGCCTGGGAGCCCCACCGCTCCAAGCCCACCACGCTCTGGGTAGCCGCCAGCCCTGCTTGAGAACTCCTGAGTGAGGGGAGCCCCAGCTCCCCCCGAGTCTGGGCAATCGCCTCCCCTGGCCTGAACCTCAGCTGCCCCTTAAATACTGAGGGGCTGACCCTGGCCTGTGTGGCTCAGCGGTTAGACTGTCAGCCCTTGGACCAAAGGGTCGAGAGTTCCATTCCCAGTCAAGGACACGTACCTGGGTTGCAGGTTCGATCCCTGGCCCTGGCCAGGGACATGAGGGAGGCAACCAATCAGTGTCCTTCTCCCTCCCTACCTCCCTTCCACTCTATCTGAAAAAACAATGGAAAAATATCCTCAGGTGAGGATTAACAAACAAACAAACAAAAATACTGAGGGGCTGGATTAGAGGATCCGAGGACCCCCATCCTCCGAGGCTGGAGGATCCGCGGCACCAGCAGAATGACCAAGGCTGCTTCTCCCATTCAGGGGCTGCTCCAGGAAGCCACCTCCCAGCGACACTCTGGGTGGCCAGCCCTGACCCCTTCCTGCCCTGCGCAAGACCTCCACCCTACCCCAGGTAGCCCTACCTGTCCTTCCTCCTCTGGACTGAGCAACACTCACCCATCGGGCGGCTGCTGTCGAGAGAGGAGAGGGCTCAGGAGGCACCCCCTGACCCCGGCCCTGCCACGGGGACATCTCCAGAAGTTCTCTGAAGACACGGCACCTCACACACCACGCACTTCTCCACTTGGGCCATGAGATCACAAAATGCTGCAGACAGACAAGCCCAGGCGCCGTCTTCCCAGTCTGTGGGGTCCCTCAGGCCGAGCACCCCCAACCACCACACCCCTGGCCTCGGGCCTGGCTCCCAGCAGAGGCGGGCCTGACTCACTTGGTCCTGATGCAGAGCTCGAGGGGCGGGACCAGGTCCTTGTCTGGGTCCTCAGGAGCAGTCTGGGTGGTGTCTGGGAGGTGAGAGACAGGCAGGGGCTCAGCCCAGGGCCCGAGCTCACCCTGAGGTCAGCGCTGACAACCCAACCCCTGGGACCCGGCTCTCCTGGCACCTGCCTCTCTCTCCCTACTGGACCACCCGCGTTCCTGCCATCAGTTCTCACCTGGACACCACAGCACCCTCCTCCCTGCCTCTCCCTCCAGTCTCCACCCCACCTCCTGCCCCCACTTCAGCTACCAGAATTCTTTTTAAAAATAGGTCTGATCCCATCACTCCCCTGCTCCAGAACCTCCCAGGGCTCCCTGCTGCCTGGAGGCATGGTAGTCCAGGCTCTCCCTGCAAGCGCTCCGCCCCACCTCAGGCCCTCAGCGCACCAGTGTCTCGGGCCCAGCCCTGGCTCCCTGCTGCGGGAGGGCCCCCGACACCCGCCCCCTGGTCCCCGGCCCTCACTGCTCTCTGGCTGCCCTGCGAGGCCGGGCTGAGGCGCGTTTCCCTGCCGGGCGGGGGCTCCCCAGGACGCCCGGGCAGGGTGGGGCCCGCACCGACGGTCAGCCGGATCTGCTCCTGCTGGTTGGCCAGCCCGTCGTAGTAGTACAGGTCGAACAGCCTCTCCGCCTTCCAGTCTCGCAGGAGCTCCGGCTGCAGGCTGAAGAGGACGCTGAAGTGGCTCTCACTGCACACTACCCAGACGGGGAACCGCGGGGTCTTCAGGAAGCAGCCGACCTGGGTGAGGGGAGGACAGGGCTGTCTGATGCCACTTGCCGTCCCAGGGAAAGGGGCCAGAGCACCTTCCGTCCACCCCCAGGGCCGGCTGACCTCAGAGAGGCCCAGGTGGGGATCACAATCTGTGTGTGATGCTGGGGTCCCCTCATGCCGCTCACAGACACAGCCTGTCTTCCAGAGCCGTCCCTGCTGGCCCAGCCCACTGCGTGCGGGGCCTGGCCTCAGAGACGGTCACGCAGATACCCAGTCTGAAACCTGGGCACACCTGCCCTTCCCTGCCACATCCAGCCAGTGCACAGTGCTGCCCGTCTGGCTTCCCAAAGCTCCTTCCCGCCCAGCCTGTCCTGCCCAATGCCCTCCCGAACAGGCCTCCCGCACCCTCCCGCCACTCCACAGACCCAAGGACCTCTCACCAGCCCTCTCGCGACTCCACTCCAGCGTGGCAAGCCCTGCACCTGTGCACCCACAGTCCACGGTCCAGGGGGCTGGTATACCTCTCCTTCCCTCGGGGCCCTGCATCACCCCAGTTACCCAACCCAGGAGCACGAATCACCGCTCCTGCTCCTGCTTGGGGTGCCGGGTTCTGGGTACAGTACCCGCCCTCCTCTCGCCCTGCATCACTCTGGGCTGTGCCCTTCGCGCCAGGAGCAGGAGGCACATTCAACATAAGCAACTGTTTGATGAACAAAGGATCAGGAACTAGACAGGACTTCACCTTAAAGACAGGTGGGTGGGACTTGGAGCCACGGGGCGAAGGGACGGAGGGCCCCTGGGTGAGCAGTTGGTGGTGATGCCAGGAACCAATGCCTGAGACGTTCGGGGAACAGCGAGGTGTTCGGGAAACAGAGCAGGGGGGGGGAGGCTGGGAGCTGGGACTTCCTCCTGGTGCGGGACCCCTCAGAGAGCCCCAGCAGAGGGGCTCATGGTAGAGGGGTGTTCGGGAAGCAGATCCATGGCACCAGGCCCTCGGCCTGCCCTCTCCGCCCTCTCGCCCTGTCACCTGTGACCCCGTGGGCAGCGCCTCTCCCCACCTGCATGCACCCTGGTTTATTCAGCCCTGTACGTGCCACGGGCTGGACAGGCTGACTCTGGCCTAAATCCCTAGCAGCCCCGGGAGACGTTTGCTTGCTCAGGTATTTACAGCCACAGCCTGTGGATTAAGGAAAGAATGGGAATTATTTTTCCAGTGGGGAGAAAGGCATACTTTCTCTGGGGCCCGTCACAGAAGAGTGGCCGGGCCGTCCTCCTCGGGCCCTTGGCGCCTGGGAGCTGCCTCTGGGCTGTGCTCAGGGGGCTTGAACCAGTCCCGAGTGAAAGACGTGCCTGTGAGCAGCCGTTTCCTCCCGAGGGAGGGAGGGTGACCCTTACAGCGTGTTCATTTTCTCTCTGTCCCAGCGCCCTGCCCCAACCTAGCCGGTCAGGCCCTCGCCCCAGCTCCAGGTGGCATCACAACGGACTCCAGAGCCTGCCCTCGGTGGGATGTGGGGGAATTCAGTGTCTTAAAGGACGTGGCTGGACGTGCCTAACCCCGCTGCGAACTTGGCTTGTGTTCCAGGCTCAGAAGAGGCTTTACTGGTGAGGGCGTCACCTCGAACCGGGAGCCTGGAAGCCTGGGGCCCCAGGGCTCATTCACGGGGAACAGGAGCCATCAGCCTCCAGGGAGCCGCCTCTGCATGACCAACTGCCCTGACTTTTCCAGCAGAAGGACAAAAGGGCAGCTGGCCATTTAGGCAGCAGTCAAAAGATTATGGCAAAGAAAAAAAAAAAGCTGCTCAGAGAGTTTAGAAATGGGTTTTCTCATTCAGGAGCCTTTTCCAAGTGGGTGACATTTTCCAAAAATGAAATTCACCTCCTTGGGATTGTGGGGCAGCTGACCCAAGGCCTGGGGCGAGGAGGGGATAGAGGGGTGTTTTCTCCAGCACAGGCTGTGCTTTCTCTTGGTGGGAGACCAAACAGTGTAACCAAGGACTGCTCTTTCATAAGGGTTCTTGCATCTTTGAGGGGCGGTGTCTGAGTGTCCCAAGCCCATCTGTGGACCGCCAGCCCAGAAGCCCTCGTGAAAAAGGACCAACGTCTGATTGGTGGCGGGTTACAGCCTGCCATCTCCGAGGGTGGCGTCCACTCGGCATGACCTGTACTCTGGCCCCAGGCGCCGTGCCAGACCGTGGACGTGGCAGCGAAGGGAATAGCAGCCTTTTCCTTATGGCGCTTACGGGAGTATCGGGGAGGACAGGTAGTGATCAAACGGCCCTGCAGATGCACTTCCTCCGCATGTCACTGAACCCAGATGCCGTCAGATTCACCGTTACGTCTCGTATCACCAAGACGGAGCGCAAGCTGCCGTCCACGCCTGACGCACGGACTCCAGCGAGGCATCGGAATCGCAGGACGTTCAGATATGGGGGAAATTTCATCCCCAAAGCAGTGAGCTGTGACACTTCAAACCAAGAATAGGCCTATAACAGACAGAGTTAAGATTCTACAGTAGGAGATGGTGGGCAGGCAGATACCGTTTAGAGTGACGAGGTCAGAAAAGGCCTCCCGTCGGCGGTGACATCTAAGCCAAAGTGTGAAGGGAGGGGAAGATGGACAGGTCTCCTGGGGCCTCGCAGGTCCTGAGAAGTTCTGCACCGACAGAACCAGGGCCGTTTGCTAGAGCTGCCGCAGCCAAGTTCCACAGACTGGGCAGCTTCAACGACATTCATTTTCTCACAATGCTGGAGGCTAGAAGTTCCAGATCAAGGCGTGTGCAGTGTTGGTTTCTCCTGAGGCCCCTCTCCTTGGCTTGCGGGTGGCGGCCACCCCCCGTGGTCACCTCTCTGTGTGTCTCTGAATCCCAGGCTCCTCTTCTGAGACAAGGACACCAGTCCGATGGGATGAGAGCTCACTCTAAGGCCTCATCATAACTGAATCACCTCTTCCATGGCCTTATCTCCAAATACAAGCACGTTCCGAGGTCCTGGGAGCTGGGACTTCAACATATGAATTTGGGGGACACATTTCATCCCACAACAGTCTCAGAGGACTGGACAGCCCTGAAGGGTGCAAGCAGAGGAATGGTGTGATCTGGTCCACTCTTTAAAGATCATACTGAAGAGAGGGTGAGCAGAGGCTGGGGACAGGTGCCCAAGCCCCACTGGGCTGTCACAGGTGTGCAGACCAGGGTGAAAGTGGACAGCCTTGGGAAACCATTTAGGGGAGGAGCCCCGGGACCTCTGATGGCCTGGACGTGCTCCCGGGCTGAGTGACTTGGGGAAGGTGTCCGTGGCAGAGCTGGGGAAGTGGAGGAGGGTGGAGCTCACAGGACCACCTGCCCAGCACGGCCTTTGCTCGGGCTCTTCCGTGAAGGCAGCAGACACTGTCCCATGCTGGCCTTCCCTGGCCAGTGGGTCCCCATCGCCGTGGCCACACGAGGGGCTGGCCTCCCCATGAACTCCAGGACGGTGGGAGTGAGGTGGAAGCCCACTGGGCAAGACCAGGCCGGTGAGATCACAGGCAGGCGAGGCGGCGCCCGCACCCACGGCCGCGGAGCAAGCACACCTTGCAGGGGTGCAGCTCCCGGGTTTCAGCCAAGCGCACGGCAGACAGGGGTCTTTGCAGATTCACGGACTCGCTCTTTAAAGGCCCTGAATTTTTTCTCTCCCTTTTTCATTGAATTTATTGGGGTGGTATTAGTTATTAATAACTTATATAAGTTTCAGGTATACAATTCTGTAACACATCATCTACATAGTGTACTGAGTGTTCACCATCCAAAGTCAAGTCTCCTTCCATCACCGTTTATCCCCCCTTCCCCCTCTCCTGCCTCCCCCACCCCCTTTCCCTTTGGTAATCACCACACTATCTGTCTCTATGGGTTTTGGTTTTGTTTTGTTTTGTTTTTGCTTAATCCCTTCACCTTTTTCACCCAGTCCCCCAACCCCCTCCCCTCTAATCGCTGTCAGTCTATTTTCTATCTATGAGTCTGTTTCTGTTTGTTTGTTAGTTTTTTTCTTTTTCATTAGATTCCATATATGAGTGAAATCACATGGTACTTGTCTTTCTCTGGCTGGCTTATTTCACTAAACATAATAGTCTCCAGGTCCATCCATGCTGTCACAAAGGGTAAGATTTCCTTCTTTTTTACAGCCAAGTAATATTCCATTGTGTAAATATACCACAGCTTTTTTAACTACTCATCTACTCATGGATACTTGGGGTGCTTTCAAATAATGCTGCGGTGAACATATATTCTTTCAAATCAGTCTTTCGGGTTTCTTTGAATATATTCCCAGAAGTGTAATCTCTGAGTCATAAGGCAGTTCCAAGAGCTTGAATTTCTTCAATCAGCATTTTATTCCAAGGGAAGGATGACCCCCCACCGATGTTCTTATCTATTGCCCTCAGCAGACCAAAGGAAAATAGCTTACTTTCGACCAACGCCCGCAACACAAGAGTGAGGCCAGGGCTCGGGTAAGCCTGGGGATTCTGCGAGTGCGCCAGGGCTGCCCTCTCCGCCCGTGGAATTCCGAGCTGCATGTTTGCAGAGCCCACCCAGGGTGTGATGCTCAGGGGCCCTGGTGTTTCTCACAGGCCACGTGGCCACATTCCTGGGCTCGTCCAAACACTAGCACATCCAGGTGACAGCCTCTATCATTCTTTTCTATGGAAGTCATTGGAACCCACAAGTCTGCTTCCTGTCCTTGGGGCAGGGGTCATCCAGAGAGGAGAGCTGGGGATGGGGCCAGGTCACGTGCTGGTGAGCAATGGGTAGCACACCTGCACGTGCAGTCACATGGGAGGGACACAGTGAATCTGAGCCCTACCCTAAAATGCTGGTCTATATCCACTCTGCAAATCCAACTGCCTAGCTGTCTGAGTGTCCCCTTGGCTCACTGTGGCCCTGGTTCTGGGAACACACAGTGAATTAGGCCTCGTCCAAACCCTCCAAGAACTCTGCAGGGCAGCCACACGGAAGGAGCTCCTCTGCCCTCTCGGGACAACTCTGTGTCCTCCACCAGAGGACAATGTCTTCTCTGAAAACATGGAGATGGAGGCTCAGCGAAGGACCAACAGCAGCCTGGGACAAGGAGGCAGGGCCCAGGGCCCCCCTGCCCATGCTGCCCAGACATGCAGTCACACCATACGCCACCTCCCCCCGGTCCACCTTCCCCAGAGACCGGCTAGTGAGAGAGGCGGTGGAGGGACCCTTATGCCAGCGAACAGACTGAGGTCCGGTATGGGGAGAATTATGTCTCCCAAAAAATATGTTAAAGTCCTAGCCCCCAGCATGTCAGAATGTGACCTGACTTGGAAACAGGGTTGTTGCAGACATCACAGTCAAGGTGAGGTTAGTGGAGGAGGGTGGGCTCTCAATCCACCATGACTGACATCCTTACAAGACAAAGCGAGAGGCACAGGGAGAAGACTGGCCACCTGACTGCAGAGGAAGACGATGACCAGTGACTGTGGAGGGGGAAGCCGGCCACATGGAGAAGCCAGCCATGTGGAGAAGCCAGCCACGTGGAGAAGCCAGCCACGTGGAGAAGACAGCCGGTGACTGTGGAGGGAGAAGGTGGCCACGTGGAGAAGGCTGCCACGTGGAGAAGGCGGCCACGTGGAGAAGACGGCCACGTGGAGAAGCCAGCCACGTGGAGAAGACAGCCGGTGACTGTGGAGGGAGAAGGCTGCCACGTGGAGAAGACGGCCACGTGGAGAAGGCGGCCACGTGGAGAAGACGGCCAGAGACTGTGGAGGGAGAAGGCAGCCAGGGACTGTGGAAGCAAAAACTGGGGACACGGCAGTACGCGGAGGAACCCAGGGCGGCTGGAAGACAGGAAAGCTAGGAGAGACAGGTGGGGTTCCCCCGTGGGTTTCAGAGGGAGCACAGCTTTGGCATCACCTTGACTCTGGACTTCAGCTCCGAGAGCCTGTGCTCCAGAATCACGAGGATGCATTTCTGTTGTTCAAGCACTGCTCACAGTGCTGTGTTCAGTGCTCTGGGACACTGACGCCAGACCCCGTCCCTGGGGAAGACGCCCCACCACACACACATGACAGTGGCAGCCACTCTGACCCACAATCACACTATGAAGCCCTCAAAGTCCCTCTCTAACCACCTTTCCCAGAACGTGGAGCAGCTGGGTACCCGATGGTGCCCGCCACTGCCCCCCCCATCCCCCGGCTGGCTGCAGAGGGCGGGCTGCGTCCCCAGAGGCCTGTCCTGGTACCTGGCACACGCCGTAGTGCTCAAAGAGAGACAGGAAGCCCACGTCGCTGCGGGTAGCAATGCCTTTGAGGAGCGTGATGTTCCCGTCCCCGGAGTCCAGCTCCATCACGTCGTTGAAAACATTGGACACAGCTTTCCCGGTCAGGAGCAGATTGACAAGTTCCTGTTGATGAGAGAAAGGGGAAAGGCTGGTCAAGGGGAGATTGGGGACCAGGCAGAAAGGGCAGAGAAGGAAGAAGTGAGAGGCCAGAGTCAGAGGGGCTTTGACGTTGCGATCCCACAAGCCGCCAGGGAAAGTGGCCAAGTCTTCACATCAAAGGCGCTGGCGGGGCCCGTCCACCTTCGCTCCCAGCGTTTATCAGCAGTTCCCGGCGCCAGCTGCGTGCCGGCCTGGGGGCAAGCGTGGCTCCCGGGTGCGCGGGGCTGCCGGTGTGCACGCACAGGGCGTGCATGGGCTCGAGCACTGTGCTCAGAGCACTCTGGGGCCCACATGACTGGCTGGTCACAGGACTGGTGGAAGGGTGACATCTGGGTGGGTCTTGAAGGAGGGTAATTTTTTAAATAAACCTTTTTATTTTGAAACAATTTTAGCCTCAAAAGCAGTTGTAAGAATAGTACAGAGAATTCCTGTGTACCCTTTGCCCAACTTCCCTCGGTGATAACAGCTTACATAACGGGAGCACATTTACATAACCGGAGCCATGAGTAAGGCCAGGAAGCGGACGATGGGGCCCGACGACGTCACTCCCCCAGGCCCATCAGCCTTCACGGGCGGTGGGGTCTGCACAAGGGCCGGAAGAGCAGGGCAGAGCGCAGCGGGGAGGTGGGGCTAGGACGCCCACCGAGCTCCGTCTCTGCCCAGGACTCAGGGGCCGTGTGACTCATGCCCCACACCCGACAGGCCAACAAGCCCCAGAACCGGGGGACGGTGCATCGGGGTGACTGGGAGGGCCCTTCCTTGTGCAGAGTATCTAGGGGCCAACCCCGTTAGGAATGGAGAAACTGAGGCTCGCAGGTGGAAAAGGATGTGCCCAAGCCACCCAGCTGGTTAGTGACAGAGCTGGTTAGTGACAGAGCTGGACCTCTGCCCATGTGTTCCGGTTCCACCAGCTGTCCCTTCCCTCTCCACTTACTCGCTACCCCCAAGGACCACCTGGCCGGCCGACGATTCGAGATGAAGGTGACTGCTACATGCCTGCTGACCACTGAGGTTCAAGGGGTCAAGCGAGCCCAGACTTGGCGCTGGGCAGCCAGGACCCTCTGTGTGACCACCTCCTGCCAGGGCTGGCGCTGCCCTTCCTCCGGAGACAGAGCTCACAGCTGTCCCCTGCGCCGTGGAGTGAAGCCTGGTTCACAACCCCGCTGTCAGCAGCAGGACCCTGCCCCAGTGGCAGTAACGAGGCGCCTCTGATGGCCGCAGAGGGAGGCGCTGGGGCCTCGCGGGCCTCGGAGAGGAAACAAGAGAGAATTCGGAGGAAGCGGCAGTCCTGAGAGCTGTACTCGGGCAGCAGCTGTGAGGAAGCCCGGGCCTCTTCCAGACAGATTCTGTTTTCCCAGCTCGTTTTCAAGGGGGAAAGGGCTCCTGCTGCCCGTCAGGAGTGTGTCTCAGACCTTCCTCAGTCCCTTCTTGAAATGGGGGAGAAGGGGCGCCAGGCTGCTCCCTGCCCCTGGATTCATGGCCACACAGTGGCAAAGCTCAGTGGTCAGCCAGCCCCGTTAATCCAATTGTGGTCAGCGGACCAGCGGACCAGCGGCCTCACCCTCCCTGCAGGGCCTGTTAGAAACCAGAATCTCAGGCCCCAGCCTCGATCTTGAAGCTGAGCCTGCTCGTTAATAACACCTGGACGGTTCATGTGTGCATCCGAGTTTACAGATGGTCCAGTCCACGCACCTCATTCTGCCAGTGAGGAACCTGAGTCTGGGGGAGGTAAAGAAAATCACCCCGGCTCATTCTGCAAATGAGATACCAACACAGCTCAGAACCCAGCCCAGACTCGGGTCCGGCACCCTCTGTACCCCAGTGAACTGCCCCACCAGGGGGCTGGACTGCTGTGTGCCTGATGAGCGGGGAGCTCACACAGGGAAGACAGGCACCAGAGAGGGAGCGCACACAGGGAAGACAGGCACCAGAGAGGGAGCGCACACAGGGAAGACAGGCACCAGAGAGGAGCTGGACCACCCGGCAGAGCCTGAGGCTTGCCTCTAGGACGGTGGGCAGCGGGCACCCCACATCCTTCCGGTGCCCTGGACAAACTGCAAGCCCAGATCTAGCCCCTGCATGGTGCCCAGGGACGTTTTCAGGGCTGGCACAGTGAGCAAGGACTCCAGGACAATGGGGTCATCAGCCAGGCCTGGCAGACTGAGCAGCACTGCCCAGCTCGTCCAAGCTCCACGTGGGTCAGATTTAACTGTGGCCCAGTGTCCACTCTGTGACAACATGCTGTGCAGAGAAAGACACAGACAGGCCGGACGTAGCGTTTGGCTCCCAGTCCCGACACTCGCTGACGGGATCTCGACCAGGTCCTTCCCTTGGTGTGGCCAGGACCAGGAGGATCCATGATGACCAGCCGTGCTGAGCGTCCCCCTCCCGCCCAAGAGGTTCCTTAAGGGCCCCTCTGTTAAAATGCAGAGGGAAGGACTGCTGTAGAGACAGTGCCCTGAGCAAAGGCAAAGGGAGCCAGGCCGTCTTCTCCCCGCGGGCCCAGGGCCCCGTCCGTGCATCAGCAGCTCTGGCAGAGGCGGGCAGGACACAGGAAAAGACAAGAGGAGGGGGAGACGCCCCGGCCGCCAGGGCCCCTCCTGCACCCCTAACCTGTGTACAGTAGCTGTGCGCTCCAATCAGGTGGCTGGTGGGGACGTCGAAGTCCTGGCGGACGCTGGAAAACATGGAAAAAGTAGTGTCAGCATGTGTCTGCCTGACCCGGGCCGCTGGGCAAACCGCGCTGGGTGGCCGGGGCTCCCTTGGCTTCCAGACTGAGGCCCAGAACTCCAACTGTGGTCCTCGCTCCATGCCCTCTCTGGGGGCCGGAGCCCGGGTCTCCCCAGGTCTCCCGCACTCTGTCTAACCAGCAGCCTCCACTCTGGCCTCACCAGGCCCTATGTCGACACAGCAGAAAGGCCCCTGGGTTTGGAATCCAACATCCTGCATTGGCATCCCAACTGTCACTGACGGTGGGGACTGGGACACCCTCTGCCATCTCTGGGCCTCAGTCTGTGAGTCTGTTAAATGGGAGGAGTGGTCTAAGTAATAGCTGCCACCACCTGGGCACAGACCATGCATGGGGCCCTGAGCACACGATGCTTCTAAACCCTGAGAGAGAACCATGGCTCAGAGAAGGACCATCTGGCAGCACAATGTGAAAAGCCCCATTGCCCAAAGAAATCCTTCAAACCAAAAGGAACGGGTTCCTGGGACTTGATTCCTTTTATCCGCCCAAAGTGACTCCCTGGAAAGACGGAGCATTATGGCTGAATAGAGCTGTGAACGGGTAAACAGCAGGAGCCACCAGCTATTAACCACACTCAGAGGACAGCAATGTCAGCCCCCCAGCCTCCCGGAAGAAGGAATCAGTCTATTTTATAGATGTGGGAAAACACACAGAGAGGTGACACCAGGGAGGCGATGTGAGGCCAGGGACCAGTCCTGACGCAGGTGCCACCAGCCCTGTGCCCGGGCCTGGCCTGCCTCCTCCACCCACAGCCCACGGAGAGTGCGAGAGGAGGCCCAGAGGCAGGAGGGTTTGGCAACCATGTTTGTTTTCCCTTTTAGTGGAAGAGAAGAGAAACCTGGTCTCAATTTTATATTAAATCTAAGATCAGCCCGCAAACCTGAAACACACACCCTGGACCCTGTGTCTTCCCCAGTCGGGTTCAGAAACTTGAGCTCCGTGACCTCTGCGAGAGAAATGCTTTCTTGTGGTTTTTAATAACTGCGGCCAAACAGGGCCGGTTTGTGGTCCACAGGAGAAGACGGGCTGGGGCTGGGGCCATGAGTCCAGGCTGGGAGCACGGAGGCCGGGGCCTCAGGAACAGCCTGGAGGCTGGCCCACCAGAGACAGCCCCGAGCCTGGGAAGGAGCCGGCTGGGGACAAAGGTGAGGGCCGCGCTCGGCTGGCCGGAGCTCAGGCAGGAGAATTGATGGAAACGTTCTCCGTGGTGTGCACAGGCATCTTCTGGAGAGAAATGACCCCAGAGGAGCCCGGGCTGGCTGATAAGCATCGCTGGCCCTGAGCCACAGCAGCTCAGAAGCGGCCGGTCTCTGTAATCTACAGCCTCGTGTTCGCCCGGCCGGCTGAGCGCCTGCGTCAGCTGTGAGCAGAGGGACAGGCAGAAGCACAATGGGAGGAAACGGTAATTGCATCCTTAGGTGCAAACACGATGGGAAATTCAGAAGTGGGCTCGGATCTTAAAAGGGAGGAACATCTGTACTTCACGTTAGGGCATTCGGAGGACGCCAAGGAGCAGCTTATGGCTTAAGAGATTTACAACTTTGGCAAATCTAGATGCCCAGGCCTCCCTCCAGGGGAATTCCCTGGAGAGCCGAGCGTGGAGGAGTACTTGAGAGAAGCCTCAGGTCTGCTGGAGAGAAGGCAGCTCACACGGCAGGGCCGCGTCGGGCCTGCGTTCTGGCCCCCGCTGGCTGTGTGGCCGAAGAGCCCTCCTCTCTGGGCCCTGGGTTCCCATTTTGAGGGGCTTGCACAAGACAAGTGGTGTTATGGGCTGAACTGTGTCCCCCGAAACCACAGGTTGAAACCCTAGCCCCCAGCACCTCAGAATGTGAGTGTGTTTGGAGACGGAGCTTTAAGTTACAGGAGCCATTAGGGTGGTGTCCTTTCGGGAAGAGGACGTGGACACGTCCTTCCCACGGCAGCTGTGACGCTGCCGTTTCAGACTCGGCCCTTTCTTCGGATGAAATCTTACGGGCTGAAGGCTCACACAGAACACAGCAGGCAGGGCAGTGAGGCTGGCGCCGGGCAGAGGTCGCCCCCCTTCCTCCCTCCTCACCAGCCCGGCCGCCCCTCGGGGAGCCCCCAGGCCTCCAACGTCCTGGGAGCAGGGTTGAATCACTGCAGGGCTGCCTGAGCTCTGAGGTTCCTACACTTTCCGGGTTTCTGAGCAACAGGCTGTGACAGGCCTTCCCCGGGACTGACGACTACTCCACTGTAACGGGAAGGTCATCCTTCCAGGGGCTGCAGGACGCCGGGGCCGAGTTCTGCAGGAGCTGAGTCCCCAGGCACCAGGCTGGGTGACAGGAGCCGGGAGGAGCCCGGCGCAGGAGCTTGCCGGCTGCAGGGAGCCTGAGTGGACTTGCCCAGGGTATGAAAATTTGCGAGGAGGGGGTTGGCCCTGGCTGCCCTGCTGTCAAGCTCCTCAGCATTCTGGGAACAAAGGGCCAGCCTTGGGGGTGTCCAGGTCACCCGCGGACAGAGGAGGGGAACAGAGAGCTCCGCCCAGGGGGCCAGCAAGGACTGCTTCTCCCATAGGAGGTCCCACCGACACTGCTGACCAAGAAACAAGGAAGAGGACGTCAGGGCGGGGGGGCCTCGGGGCTCTGACATTTAAACATCTTGCCTAAAGTAGGCGGTAATTACCTGGGAGGACCCGGCCCGCCACCTCCCCTCCCCCTGGGCTCTAGGGCACCAGGTCCCGGGGCACTGCCGTGTCCCTCAGGGCCAGCTCCTGCCCGTCCTCCCAAATGACCCCTCCCCCCCAAAACCGCACTGCCCACTGCACTCCCCACCTCCCCTGCAACAACCTCGGAGACAGCGCCCCTTCGCTTGGGCCCCCATTGACTTCTGAGGACAGCATCAGTGCAGAGAGCAGCTGCTCCCCAGTCGTCCTCTGAGCCTCAGCTTCCCCACTTGCGATGTGGGTATGATGCCGCCTCCTACTACAGGTTGCTGTGAGGACTGAGTGAGACCAACTGTATAAAGCACTTGGCATTTGTAAATATCGCTTCCTTTTTCCTACAATAACAGCAATAATAACAACACCCAGAAAAACAATGTGAGTTCATGACTCCCGCCACCTCCACCTTTCATACCATGGCCAAGAACCCAGAACAAACAGAGGCCTCGCGGTCAGGGTCGAAACGTAGCCATGAGCATCTGAGAAGGGATCTAGGCGGAGCGGATACTGACTGTTTTCCCAGGAAGGCTGAGAGGAAGTGGGCGATGAGTCAGAATACACCTGCGCTGTGTGACCTTCCCCGGATCGCTTTCCATCTCTGAGCCTTGGGGGTGTGAGCCCCGGTAGGGATCACAATATATAACCACCTCAGGGTGCTGTGACAACAGAAAAGCCTGGCTCACTGCACAGGAGCTGGGTGGGCTCCAGGAGACAGGGCAAGGTGCATGGAAGGAGGGAAGAGAAAGAGAGACGCCCAGACTTCCCAAGCAGCCTTCCTCCTCACACCCATCCGCCCACACATGCCGGCAGCTTCCTCCCCGGCCAGACCTCGTACAACTGTTCCCCGCACACCCCGCCACTGTCCCTGCCCACTCCGCTCCCCCTGCCTGCCAAAACCCTTCCCACATATCCCTCAGGGCCCTTCTAAATGTCATGCCTCCATAGAGAGACACCTCCCTCGCCCCAGGACAGATGTGCCCCATCTCTCCTTAGACACACCCTTCCCGGGAGCACCCACCCGCGGCTCTTCCTGTCTGCCTTGCCCTCCGGGAGCGGAGAATTTGAGGGAAGGCTTGTGATGTCTCCGTCGGCCCCTGGGTGCCCAGAACTGGGCTGTAAGCCCACAGGTGCACAGACGGCTCTACCTCGGCGAGCCTGCCCACACCCCCCGGGGAGAAGCTGCAAGGAAGGCCATGGTGGGACGCCCCCAGACGCTGGCTCCCGAAGACTGTGCAGAGGCAGGCGGAAGGAAGCGTCCCACCCACACAGTGGGGGCTGGTCTGGAACAGAAGGGTCTTCCAAAAGGTTCCTTCCCTCTCCCTCCTCCCGAGGCCTGTCCTCCCTGTCTGGCCACCCAAACCCTATGTGGAGCAAGAAGGGGTAGCCCTTGGGTGAGTGGGTAAGAATGTTGGATCACTGGGGATCAGGGGACCCTCAGCTCTGCGACTAACCCCGGTGTGTCCTGGGCCTGGTCGCCCTTTTTGCTGTGGGAGATGAGCCCCCATTCAGCCTCCAGCCTCAGTGTCCATGGGAGCCCCGCTGCATCAGCCACGCCAGCCGCTGCGCACTTGCCGTGACTCGTCACCTCAGCAGCCGGGGACCAGACGTGTTTTGGCCCAGATGGTGCTGGCTGAGAATAAGTGGAGAGTGAAGGGCGGGGGCAAGCATCTGTCCACATGGGCCTAATTAGGGTCCTGCCTGCCATCTCTTCTCGTTGGGTGGCAGGCACAGCCGAGCAGCACCTGTCACTCCTTCCCCAGCTCAGGAAGGGCAATTGCAGGCACAGGGTCTGGGACGCAACCTGCCCCCAACTCCTCGGATAAAAAGGGATAATGGCCCTAGGCTAGTGGGCCTGCCCCTGGGGTTGCCACAAGCCCCCAAAGCTCTGGGTAGCAATGAGGGGTCCTCCCTTTGCTGTCCATGGGGTGAGGGGCCTCACGGACACCCGCAGAGGGAGCCAGCCAGAGATCCACAGAACGGAGCTCTGGTCACTGACAAGAGCTGGGGAGTCAGGGAAGGGATGGGGGGAAGGAGGGCCAGTCGAGAAAAGCGGGATCTGGGATGGGGGGGCGGCGTCTATTATTTCCAATGGCATAGTTGGGGTCTATCTCCCACCCACCACCCTGGTTTCTTGAGACACATTTGCTGGAAGTGACCACGGCCTCAACCTAATCTGAGCCAAAGCTGAAGCGGACTTGGAGTTCATCGAGGAAGTCCCTCCCCTTCTGTCCCCCAGCCGTCAAAAGAT